TCGCGTCTAATACTGTCAAAAACACACAAGGTTTACATATAAACACAGTTGGTTATGTCTAAAAGGAAAGTAAACAGTTAAGAGAGAAACGCGTGAAGCTCTTCAAGGGACAGTAGCTACTAAACATGCTGCCGACTGTCATTAAAGGAATAGTTCACCCAAAATTGTCATTTATTTATTCAGGAAAATGATCCAATATTACATATCTGTGGGCGGCAAAAGTATGTGAATCTCTAGGATCAGCTGTTAATTTTTAAGGTGAAATTGGAGTCCATCTGTTCAGAGGTGTTTTTAATCAGTGAGATTGACTTTAATATCTCAACAACTTACTCTGGTCTATTAGCGAATCATATACTACTACTACAACAACAAAAGTTTTCGTTATTTTTTAAAATAAAAAAGTGAGCGTTAACCTGTTCTCCGCCCCACCTGCTGGCAGAGCGGCCGCGGCGCGGAAGGAGATGCTAGAGAGCGCGAGTGGACGCATGTGAGCTCTTCTCGGCGTTTGATTATTTGTCGTTTTTTGCATGATTTTTGTATGGTTTGTGCAGGATGCATCAGGCCATCACATCAGCTCAGATAGCCCACTGGTTTACTGTCGGGGTACAGTTTGCAAACATCACAATCACCGATGAAGTGAAAAAGCAGGCCGAAGCTCCTTCTACTACAGACAGGTATAAGTCATGAGTGTTTTTGCTGATTAAAACTGTTAATTTTATTATACAGGCTTACTTTAAGAGTATTCAGAAATATAAACAATAAATATTGATGAGACGTGTGTAGTCATCGCTAATTGGAATAAAAACACGACAGGAGACACGTGCTTTTAGGATAAGTCGATACGCATGCATTTTCATAAAGTAAATATCAATGCATGATCCTTTGACCAAGTTTAGTTTTAAAAGGTCTGCCGTACTAAACAACATTTAGCATTTTGACAGTATATACACGGTTTGTTTAAAAAGACCATTAAAAGTCTCTTAAATCTTTTTGAACCAGGGTTTAGTGTTGCATAGAGAAGTATAAATGTGTGCAGGTGAATTAATATGATTGACAGCTGGTGGTTAACTAGACAATAGACTGGGAGAAGACCCAAGGATACACAATTTTCTCTTTGTGTGTGCATTTGCTGCAGCTCTGTGGAGCAGTTGTCTGAACAGACTTCTCCAGAGAAGGCAGGATCAGATGGAGGAAACCAGAAGAGCAGGAGGCCAGAACTACCAACCAGTAATCACCCACATACCAACTAAAGACTCTTTATTATTTGATTTTACTAATGTGATTAACTAGAATCAGTATTGTACAGTGCTATTAACATAACATCTGTCCTATGTCCTACCTCCATGTTTGGCTTCTGTGTTACCAATTAGGATGGAATTGCATAACTCACATTCACAATTCAAACTGTTTTGACACGTGACCTTTGACTTATAGGTCCAGGAACCACCCCGCCTTCGCTCGGCAGTTATGAGTATCCAGTTCTCCCTATTACTAAGAACAGACAAGAGGTACACACATACAGATACAAGGCACATACAGACACATTTACTCATAATTCAATAAAAGATTTATGGACTTTTTCATGTTTGGTTATGTTGTGTATTTTCTTATGTGCATACAGTTCTGCTTGAAAGTTTGTGAACCCTTTAGAATTGTCTATTTCTGCATAAATATAACCCAAATAATCAGATTTTCATGCAAGTCCTGAAAGTTGACAGAGAACCTAATCAAGCAAATGAGATTAAAAAAAAATACTTTGTCATTTGTTTATTCAGGAAAATGATCCAATATTACATATCTGTGAGCGGCAAAATTATGTGAATCTCTAGGATTAGCTGTTAATTTGAAGGTGAAATTAGAGTCTATCTGTTCAGAGGTGTTTTTAATCAGTGAGATGACTATCAGGTGTCAGTGTGTGTCCTGTTTTATTTAAAGATCAGGGATCTATCAAAGTTTGTTCATGTTTGTGGAAGTGTATCATGGCACAAATGACATCTCTGAGGACCTCAGAAAAAGGTAAGTAACTAAAGGCCTTTCTCACATTGGATAATGTTTATGAGTCCATCATCAGGAGAACACTGAACAACCATGGTGTCCATGGCAGAATCGAACTGCTCTCCAAAAAGAACATTGCTGCCCATCTGCAGTTTGCTAAAGTTCATGTGGACAAGCCAGAGGAATACTGGAGAAATGTTTTGTGAATGGATGAGACCAAAATGGAACATTTTGGTTTTAAATGAGCAGCGTTGTTTTGAGAAAGAAAACGCTGCATTCCAGCATAAGAACCCTATCCCATCTGTGAAACATGGTGGTGGTGGTATCATGGTTTGGGCCTGTTTACAGATTGTGTACAAATGGAGGAAACTAAAGACCACTGGTCCACCAACAGAGATCACTCCAAAAGCAAGACATGTAAAAGGCCACTAGGTTTCAAAGGACTGCAGGCTAACTTCTAAGCAACTAAAGGCCTTTCTCCCATTGGCTAATGTTA